CTTGTTCTTGGATCTAAAACCTGCACTGCCACGTCATACAGAAAGAATATAGAAGTTGACTCTGCAGTCTTTAAATTTAACTGAAAGAGTGAGTATGGTTTTACGCCGCTTTTAGCAATATTCCAGCAATATTACGACGGGGGACACCACAAAAAGGCTTCACACATTGTAACGTGTGGGGAATCGAACCCGGTTCTTCGGCGTGATGAGCGAACGCTTAAACCACTAGGCTACCCCACCCAAATGTGAAGCTCATTTCTGATGTCCCCCGCCGTGATATTGCTGGAATAATGCTAAATGCCCGTAAAACCATACTCACTCACTCCCATCCCCCACCCCCCACTCCCCACCCCCCTCCGTGATATTGCTGGAATATTGCTAAAAGCGCGTAAAACCATACTCACTCACTTCACGTTTATGAGTGTGGCGTGCGGTGTACATTACACCACCTTGTTACAGTCGATGTAGTCTTCCCATCTCTGACACGGCTCTCACACGTATCGCGATACCGAGATAAATGATCGTTTTTCCCCTCATTTACTCATTACGAGACCATAAATAGCCATCAGCTTCAACAAGTGCCCTGAAAATACCACGGTAACACTTGAGACTATTTCTGTGCGGCTTCAAAGTCAAACACGTCACTTCCGGTGCCTCCACAGATCTGCCTGTCGTGTACAATTCGGTGGGATTCACTCCCATGGTCAGATCTCGTCGCTCACATCTTGGCCATACCTGTCTGGCCACGTTAGTGGTCCGTTCTGGAATTGATGTCGACTTTTGTTCTTGTTTCCCGGAGTGTAGATGGGATGAACTCAGTGTACACTGTCACATCTCGTTTCACGTGTTCTAGGTTTGGTTGGATGGTTTGTTGTTTAACGCCGCACTCAGCAATATTCCAGCTATATGACGGCGGTCTGTAAATAATCGAGTCTGGACCAGACAATCCAGTGATTGATATCATGAGCATCGCGATCCACGCAATTGGGATCGATGATCGTGCATCAACCAAGTCAGCGAGCCTGACCACCCGATCCCGTTAGTCGCCTTTTACGACAAGCATAGTCGCCATTTACGGCAAGCATGGGTTGCTGAAGACCTATTCTACCCCGGATCTTCACGGGTTCGTTTCCTAGGGTACATGCCTGCGTGAATGGTAGGTGTAAGAGGCAGTGAGTGAATTGAGTTTAACGCCGCTTTGAACAGTGTATCAGGTGAGGTGAGGTGAGATAAATTGGTGAGGTAACATCTTTTTGTATGACGCGCCCGGGGATGGAACCCCGGACCTCCCGCTCTCTGGGATGACGTAAAAGATGGTATTTGTTGTTACCCTGCCTGGCGCTCGGTAATAAGGGGCTAAACAAGGACTGGTCGGCTTGGAGTCAGTATACTGTGTCTGAGTGGGGTATTCATGTTAAACTGCGGCATGGTATCTCAGTGAGCTAGCAATATAAATCGGCATCAGTCTGGACTAGTACAAGCAGCTACACACACACTCACACACGTGGCTATATGAGTGCAATAATCTTTGACGCGACGTTAAAACCCATTTCACCTCACCTCACCTCACCTCATCTCATCTCACCTCACCTCACCTCACCTCACCTGGGTGGACGCTCTACCACCAGACAAGGGAGGTGGTCTTCAGTTATATCATCTTGATGTGGATTAAATGCCCGAGTTGACGCAGCAGGTTCTAACCCACACGCATGGATATGGTGCCCATAAACCAAGATCAGGGGCAGGGCGAAGCTGGGATTCGAACCCCTGATTATGTCCCGGGACGTGCGACTTGAGACCGTGTGAGAGTGTTGCAAAACTGTTAACGTCGATCAGTACCGAGCCCCGTTCCCAAAGCGATCCAAGCGCACCGACTACCGTAAGCCAATGTTACGGTATTGGAGTTAGAACTGTACACGTGAGACTGTACACCTGAGAGTTTACACCTAAGAGTGTAGACCTGAGAGTTTACACCTCAGACTGTACACCTAAGATTGTACACCTGAGAGTTTACACCTGAGTCTGTACACCTACGACTACACATGAAAGTTTACACCTAAGACTGCACCTGAGTCTGTACTCATGAAATTGAACACATGGGATAGAAGGTGTAGACTATAGGCATGAGATGGTACGGTGTGGATGGAGACCCGCTACCACCACTGTCAACGTCAGGTGTTTGTGTGTGTGTGTGTGTGTTAGTGTTAGTGTTAGTGTGTTAGTGTGTGTGTGTGTGTGTGTGTGTGTGTGTGTGTGTGTGTGTGTGTGTGTGTGTGTGTGTGTGCAAGACCATGTTTTACATATGAGTTTTTACACCAACAAGTGCGTCATCTCCTATGTCCGTGTTCACACAGCATCCTTTGGTCCTGGGAGACAGATCCCCCTGCTTCCCCCATCAGCCTCTGTGTGAGGTACATAGCAAGACGCGGTGTTTACTGCCACGTGAAGATCGAAGCACTCAATCCCGGGGGCTTATCACGTCTGGATGTGAGCGGTTTATCGATAAAGCAGAAAGCTTAGAAAGTGTTTCATGCCAATGCAATTTGCTATCAATAAATATTGTAAGAATTTCAACGTCAGCGTGTGTCTGTTAAAAGAATGCAGCAATGGCCGTGTTGAATTGGACTCTTACGAACACAGTAGGGATGGTGTGTGTGTGTGCGCGCGCGCGCGCGCGCGTGAGTAATGTATCTTCTGGGCACGTGTCCCGTGAAGATCCGGCGTAGAATAGGTCTTCAGCAACCTATACTTGCCGTAAAAGGCGACTAGGCTTGTCGTAAGAGGCGACTAACGGGATCGGGTGGTCAGGCTCACTGACTTGGATCGTGGATCGATGCTCATAATGTCAGTCACTGGATTGTCTGCTGCAGACTCAATTATTTACAGACCGCCGTCATATAGCTGGAATATTGCGGCGTTAAACATCAAACAAACAAGAAAACAACCAAACTGGACACGTCAGTCTAGTCCCCAATGTCATGTATCTACTGGACACGTCAGTCTGGTCCCCAATGTCATGTGTCTACTGGACACGTCAGTCTTGTCCCCAATGTCATGTGTCTACTGGACACGTCAGTCTGGTCCCCAATGTCATGTGTCTACTGGACACGTCTGTCTGGTCCCCAATGTCATGTGTCTACTGGACACGTCAGTCTGGTGCACAATGTCATGTGTCTACTGGACACGTCAGTCTGGTCCCCAATGTCATGTGTCTACTGGACACGTCAGTCTGGTGCACAATGTCATGTGTCTACTGGACACGTCAGTCTGGTCCCCAATGTCATGTATCTACTGGACACGTCAGTCTGGTCCCCAATGTCATGTATCTACTGGACACGTCAGTCTGGTCCCCAATGTCATGTGTCTACTGGACACGTCAGTCTGGTCCCCAATGTCATGTGTCTACTGGACACGTCAGTCTGGTCCCCAATGTCATGTATCTACTGGACACGTCAGTCTGGTCCCCAATGTCATGTATCTACTGGACACGTCAGTCTGGTCCCCAATGTCATGTGTCTACTGGACACGTCAGTCTGGTCCCCAATGTCATGCATGACACGTCAGTTGTATGGTCGGTCGTGTCAGATCATTCCAATCTGATGTACCCGGAGAGACACTCGCGTGTCTAAGAGCCTGGAATCCGTGCACAAGGCCGTGAATCCGTGACATTTGCCGAATTCACCCGAATTGTTCCGAGAATCCCAGGCTGGGCGGCACACCAACTTAATGTTTGTGTTTCCTTTGAACGTACATTACATCCGGGGCACGAGGAGACGGGGTCGTGTACACTCCGGGCCCGAGGGGACATAGGTTCCGACGAGAACATACTGCACGTGCCAACAACTGTTATGACCTTGGATACACGCGCTGCGCATTTGTAACACAGTAATGTTCGGATTATATAACGGTATGAGGCCCTATCCCCTGCTGGTTTGTAAAGTACAACCAACAGGCCTTGGGGGGGGGGGGGGGGGGGGGGGGCTGGAGGGGGGAGGGGGGAATTCAGTACATCCGTATCCTCAGGAACATCCTCAAGTGTCTACCTCTTGTGTCGTATGAATAGCACTCAAGCTGATCCCTGAAGCGCATGTGAGTCCGGTAGTAACTTTACAGAGCTACCTTTCTTTCCTGTGTATGTAGTGTTGCGACCCCGCCATTGTGGCTGAGTGGGCTGGAGTGTTAAAGGGTACAACCCATCTACATCAAAGCCCCAGTAGTACCGGCACACAACCTTGCAGTATTTGCTAGACAATGACTGACAATCAGCGTACTTTGAAGATGTAAAGTGGAGTAAGGCCCATCTGATCTTGTGAGGGAGAGCACACGGCGGTATGAATAGACGTTTATAGGACATAACGCCCTCATTGGGCAGGGTCCAAGCATACAATTATGCATTATATTTTGTGTTATGTGAAAGAAAGAGAGAGGAGAGACAGGAAGAGAGAGAGAGAGAATGTTTGTTTGTTGTTTAACGTCACACTCACTCAGTAACACTCCAGCCATATGACGGCGGTCTGTAAATAATCGAGTCTGGACCAGACAATCTAGTGATTGGCATCATGAGCATCGACTTACACAGTTGGTATACGATGACATGCATCAACCAAATCGATCACCTGACCACCCGATCCCGTTAGTCGCCTCTTATTTAAGCAATATTCAAGCCATATAACGGTGTAGGACACCAGGAAGTGACGTCACACAATATCCCCCATGTAGGAAGTCTTCCGATAACGTCCCCAGGGGAACACGTGCCGTGATAATATGGAGAGAAACAGGTCGAGGGAGAGAGTTGGTCGGGTGGGGGGACCTGGAGGAATCTGCCCCCTGTTGTACACACCACCCGGAACCTCGTTATTCAGCTCCGTTCGGTGTGGAGGTGCCGACTGACAGGGTCACGGTATAGGGAGGTAGCAGTGTCAGGTCACGTGGTTCCGCCATCATGGCGTTACCTGTATCCGTGGTGCAATTATCGCGTACTTCATGCATTGTTTATTTACCTTCCAGTGGGAATGTTTCGAAAATAAGCTGCTGAATAGCCATGTACGATGTTGATGCTGATAACGACAGCACTGTAACGGCAGATGGAAACACGGCCGTCCATGCTGCATCCATCTCCGACATGCCAGCGTTCAATTATCTTACCATCTGACTGAGATCCCCCAAGGATAAGGAACGATCGAAACCTGCTGGTGGGTTGAACACAAAGTTGGCAAGTTGGCAAACTAAGAGAGCGTTTAAGTATTTCCCCGGCAGTGAATTCCAGAGGGATCTCTAGGTTACAGTAACCTCCGACTGGAATACTCTCGTCCCCGTGATGCTGCAATGTTGAGATGTAGTTGCGGTGATCAAGGTCGCCAAAGACGTAGCGTTCACGGTCACTTATGTCAAAGAGTTAGTCAACAGAAAGAAGTTGGATATTGATGCCAACATCAGACAATAGACTGGGAATGTATAACCTGTTTTATCTTTGTAATTGTTGTTAACTCGGGGAATGTATTCTTTTGTCTATATCAGGATAAACCTATTTTAATTGCAATAATATTTGTTTCAAAAATGGCTGTTTCGTGTTACAGGAATGAGACTCGTTCGCTAGGCTCTTCTCGCAACTACAATTATTTCCAGGCTATGCAATCACATGTTATTCTTGGTATGTCATGTGTCATGTGTCATGTGTATGTCAGGCGGATAGAGGTGTGTGGCCTGGTCCTGGAGAGGTAGTTCAGTGGTATAGGCGTGTCAGGTGACCGGTTTCGACTTCCCACGTGTGTACACCATGCAGACCCCTTTCAGCACCACATGCCTTCGTATCAAGACCCTCTTATCTTATGAGAAGGGAAACTCACTCACTCACTCACTCACCGTATTATTCACCTCCCATCCTCCAAGTTATGTGATCTTCCTCCAATCATCTGTGACTTGGTTGAGTCGACGGCCGACGGCGGGATCGATGCTCATAATATCAATCACGGGACTGTCTGGCCCAGATTCATTTTTGTACAGACGTAGTATAGCTGGGATGTTGCTGAATGCGGCGTAACTCAACATTCACCTTTCCATCCACTCACCTACTCACCCACTCACCCACTCACCCACTCACCTGGTCCGTGAAGATCCGGGGTAGAATAGGTCTTCACCAACCCACGCTTGCCGTAAAAGGTGACTATGCTTGTCGTAAGAGGCGACTAACGGGATCCGGTGGTCAGGCTCGCTGACTTGGTTGATGCATGTCATCGATCCCAATTGCGTGGATCGATGCTCATGTTGTCAATCACTGGATTGTCAGGTCCAGACTCGATTATTTAAAGAACGCCGTCATATAGCTGGAATATTGCTGAGTTCGGCATGATACAACAAACAAACAAAACAAAACAAAACCAACTCACCTGCTCACACTATGATGAGATGATACAACTGTTCTTCTGTTTCAGGTGACTCGACCCCTCCCCCAGCAAGCTACAATGGCGAGATTCCGATCTGAGCTCCACATTCCGATAAAGAAAGATGATTTGAACTTCCAGGACCGCCAGATCAGTCTGTGGACGGACATGGAAAGCAGGATGGAGCAGCGGAGGAAGGAATGGGAAAATGAGTTCGAGAAGATGCGGCATGACTTCTTCACCCTTAAACCCTCAGAAAAGAGGTCTAGCATCATTCAAATGGACAATAACAAAACTATGTTTGAAACAGACAGTGAGGGACGACAAAAGTTCAAGGTCAGATTTGACGTCAGCGAGTTCAAGGCTGAGGAAATACAGGTCAAAGTTCAGCAATCAAAGATCATTGTGAACGCTCGCCACGAGGAGAAGACCTCCAACTCGACGGTGAGTCGCGAGTACAGCCGACAGGTGGACATTCCCAGCCACGTCGACCCCGACAAGCTGCAGTGTCTCCTCAGCAAGGACGGCATACTCAGTATAGAGGGACCAGTGCAGAACTTGCTGCAAAGGGAGGTAATGCTTCCTATCCAGAGCGACACTACATCAAAGCCACTAGGAGTCGCTACACCCGTGAAGAATCCAATCATAACGGAAGCGGACGGGTCGAGGAGACTTCGGCTTCAGGTGGACGTTGGAGAGTTTAATCCCGAGGACATTGTCGTCAAAACTATGGACAAGAAGCTGATCGTCCACGCGGAGAGGCAAGAGAAGATGACGAACCGAACGCTACATAAGGAGTTTAATAAAGAGTACGATCTTCCGGACAGTGTCGACCCTACAACCATCACGGCCTACATAGCAGAGGACAAACAGCTGACAATAGAAGCGCCCCTGAAGCCCCTTCAGACTCAGCGCAAGTCATATGCCGTGACCCAGAGCTCCAATGTCAGGAAAGTATCTGTTACCAAGGATTCGGCCGTCACCATCACAGACAGCCAAGACAGGCCAATGGTCACCATCAGCGTGCACAGGAGATAGGCGTGTCACATGACACGCACACTTTGATGACGTTTACACATTTACGGTTCTGCTGTTGAGCTATGGATATATCGTCTGTAGACCCCTGGTGGTGTAGATGTTTCCAAGGTGATGACGTCATGGCGCTTTCATCTCATCACGTGATGTCGTCACGCGAGTTGTCATGGAAACAATGTTGACATGTTCACGACTGCTTCCGATGCATGTTCGATATCACCAGAGAAGCTTTCCGATTCAACCCGAGGGTGGCCGATTTAAACAATATTGGTCTTCGGTGTATTTCGGAAAATGGAACGTGCTAATTCTGTGCATACGGAGCGCATATATTCGTCGAGTAGAGAGAAGGCAGGGGTATAGGCGGTGTCCAGGACAGGAATCGGCCGATTTCAGTCAATGTGCTTATGTGAGAGTTATGTCCCGTGTGTGCCCCTGAGTGGCCCCGTGCAATATGGTCACGTGACACCAGGCCATGTGTACAAGTATGACATCCGCAATTCTAATGAATTTCCCATAATTCCAAGTGTGGCTAAGGAGTACTGCTTCCGGTAACAGCAGCAGCAACAGCGGGTCGCGTGCTTGTGATGCGACAACGTTTCAGGATGTAGATAGTTTGTCCACGCTATCCTGTGACACGAAGACAAGATGTATGTCCAGCAGTGATCTATGGTATAGCGGTTGGTAACACTCTAGCTTTAGATATCGCCGTTTACGTACTAGATTGTATATAGAGATAGGCTATTTATTCCACTTGTTTAAGCATATTTTGTTGAATTTTAGAACTGTGATAGTTTCTAGTCTATGTATATTTGAAGCACAGAGGTATAATGTTTTCAATGGTGCTTGCAATATCGCCAATCTATATAATATAAACTGTATGCTTTATGTTATCAGGGGATATCTGTTCTTTAACTGAAGTGTCTGTCTGTCCGTCCGTGCGTCTGTGACAACTCCTGCTAAGGTGTATAAGGGGAGCGTTTAGAACGTTCGTTGCAGGACAGACCCCAGTCTCCACGTCTGGTCATCCATCAGTTCTGAGTTGTTTATTCTGTAATGTGCCTGAATCTAGAAACGGTCCTCGTCGCTTTTTGTCCCAACGTAAATTATCTGTAAAAAAGAAAAGAAATCCAAACTGTACACGAGTATCGGCATGTGTCGACTGATATCCAGGACGAATATATGATTGACCTCAAACAGTGAACAAACTTAATGTGCAGTTTTTTCATCTTAGGCTGGTGGTAGTATTAAGGTATAGGTACTAGATCGTTGTTTAGGCGGGTACGAAACCTCGAAGACTAGATAACCAATGACTCCCCAGATATGCCAGGAATCTCGCCCTCATCGCTGAATGAAAGATGGATACAACCCAGGGCCAAAATAGAAATTCATCTGTTTCAAGTTTATTTAGCTTTTTAAGCATGAAATCTTTCCCTCTGGCAACAACGCTTGAACCGCGGAGATGATCTATTTCTGTTAAACTTATCAGTTATGTGCGGAGGTTGGCATGTTTGGGGATCAGTACTATCTCTACTGGGATGGAGGAGGGGGGGAAGGATGAGGGGGATTACGCCATAACATCTGCCGGGGGATATCTCGTGAATGAATCATTCACAATATGCAGAAATATCTTTCACCTTCAGTGCAGGACTCCATATAGACACCGGCGTATATTTGAGCAGGGGGAATCCAGTCTAAGAAACGCCGTGGCTCCACCCTCCCTTGTTGTTGCCACTATCAGAATTAAATTGTCATCAACACACACACACATACACACACACACACACACACACACACACACCCCTTGTCTTTATAGGCACCCTGCCCGTACAGCCTTTTCAGTCCGAGTTATTGTATCTATGCCATTGAATATATCAACAACAAATATCAAAATAATATTCATGTGATGAGTTGTGTCATCTTTATCACTAATAATTAACTGGTACTATCCTCCGCCTTGGGATTGTAGGTCACAAGTTCTTCGTTATTTGTTCTCAGGATACAGAGTAAAGTTTGTTTTTGAAATCTCACCTTTTTTCGAAAACTGAAACATGTTGATATTTTCATATTGCGGTGGTTGAGAGTGACTTTAATATGGAATGTCTGTTGTTTATTTATTTATTTTATTCATTAGTCGATAGATTTTGGTTTCCTTGCAACCTATCTCAGTACCTGATAGATAAATGGGTATATTTACAACGTATTTTAAAACCTGATGTGGTTTCCTGACAACTTTTCTCAGTACCTGATAGATCTGGTTTTCCTAACGGCATATTTCAGAATCTGGTGGATTTGCATCTCAGAACCTGATAGATGTGGGTTTCCCAACTTATTTCAGTATTATATCGGGGCCGACCCAACATTCAGTGTTATATCGGGGCGACCCAAACATTCAGTGTTATATCGGGACCGATCCAACATTCAGTGTTATATCGGGGCCGACCCAACACTCAGTGTTATATCGGGGATGAGTCCCACATTCAGTGTTATATCAGGGCCGACCCAGCATTCAGTGTTATATCGGGGCCGACCCAACATTCAGTGTTATATCGGGGCCGACCCAAACATTCAGTGTTATATCGGGGACGACCCCAACATTCAGTGTTACATCGGGGACGACTCCGACAGCTTTGTCAACTGCCACCATCGTTGCTGTTTCTGTTAAGTCAGCCATCTTGGTTCTGCAACCCTTGCTATAGTTTTCAATCTTAGTTTGTTTTCTGCAATATTGTATTCTATTTACGTGGATCTAATGTTTGTTTCACGTCTATGAAAGTTGTCGTTTCAGGTATCAATCTTGTTGTTGGCAAACGGTTGGATGTATAATACTATATACGTTGAAACAAAGAACATGTTATAGTTCTCAGCTATATTACCAGTTACTCCGTTCCTCGTCATTATACCAGGGGGTTATCTCCCCTTGACTTCCATTGCCGCATGAATATACATGCTCTTGTCATTCGTCACCACTCGCCCCTTTCCGTAACCTGCAAGAAGACTCGTCCGCCTATCGATGAATGTTATGTGCGAAAATACGACAAACCAATCAGAATACGCGTATGATTTTAAGTTCTTCATCAAAGAATCCCTCAGAAATATTTTTTTATTTTATATACGTACTGCATCTAAAGATATACCCAAGACACAGTTAAGTGTGTTCAATCATACTGTATAATTCCGCACGTCCCGATGTGCTTAAAATTGCATCTGAAATAGATATAATATATGGGGGAAAATGTGTGAACCATTACGCAACGAGTTGATAATATTTAGGTATGCCCGTTTGCGCTAAGACGGAACCCGGTCGCAAAAAATGGCCATGAGAGGGGCACGAGTCGCTATTCGCTTGTCCCGGAATAACACGAGTTGGTTACGAATGTGCTCTTGTGGGCGAATGTTAACACGTGACTGTGTTTGAGTCGCGGCATGTGTATGTCAAACTGAGACATGTTGAATTTCAGAGGCAATGCTCTTATCACGGGGAGATAACTCTCCATACACTTCCGTTACGTATGTTATTCCTTCGTAAAACGTTAATAAATGATTCAACAGGTTCGTGTTCGTCCTTGTTGTCTGCTTCTCATGTTGGGGTTGTGTACAGTGAAGCCCCGTTATACAGCAAAACCCCGTTATACAGCGAAACCCTATTAGTCAGGAAACAAAACCAGCCCGACAGCATGTGGTAGATATGTACACACGCGACCATTCATCCATACCCATGATTACCCCGGGAACTGAATAGTCTGCATTAACGGGGTTAACTACATGCTACGGAAGGTGTGGTCCTGCACCATGACTTTGGAATATATATATATATATATATATATATATATATATATATATATATATATATATATATATTACTAAAAGCCTAATCTAGTCTATATCAAACAAGTCTAGTTTCCTTGAAAACAGCAGAATAGGAAAGGTTCTTTTGAAGAGAAACATATATGATTATTTTAAAGATAGACTAAGTGTTAGAGCAAAAGCAAATACTTTCGTCCAATAGATGGTCACTATTTTGATCAGGTGGAGTACATTTATATGATCATAAAGTACTGTTAAGTAGACAGTCTATATGGGCTTGAAACCACGTGCTCCATGAAACTTGTACACTTCAGCATGACAGGCCTTAAACAACAAACAATGGGTTCATGTATTTATTAACCCCAATAACAGGTGAGGTGAAATTGGGTTTAACGTCGCGTCCAAGATTATTGCACTTATATAGCGACGTGCAGGTACGTGTGTGTGTTTGTGTGGCTGCTTGTACTAGTCCGGACTGATGCCGATTTATAGTGCTAGCTCACTGAGATACCATGCCGCAGTTTAACATGAATACCCCACTCAGACAGTATACTGACTCCGAGCCGACCAGTCCTTCTTTTAGCCCCTTAAGGCCGAGCACCAGACAGGGTAACAACAAGTACCATCTTTTAACATCTTTTGGACGCGGTCGGGTATCGAACCCCGACCTTCCGCTCTCCGGGCGGACGCTCTACCACTAGACCACGGAGGCGGTCCAACACCAATAACAACCTTTTGTAATTCATTTAATAAATTCTGCTGGCATAAGTTCTATTCCATAGCAATCTGGATCTCTTTGTGGCCTTGCTTAAAAATATAGAAACTGTCCCTTTCCTGGACTTGATTCGTCATGACAGAGAGACAGTTTTGATTCCTCAGACTGAAAATTCAAAATACAATCTCGAAAATTGTCCCTTATAGACCTCAATTGAGCGCACGCTTTCTGATAAAGAGGCGTGTGGCTAGCGTTCTGCATAGAAAGACTGAAGCCAATGGTTTACGGAAGCCTTTTAAAGCCATTTGTTTGTTTTTTGTTTTTTTCTTGAAATTTCAAGATACTAAGTTAAAATTTCAAGCTACAGTTTTAAAGTTTCAACTTCTTTTCTTGAAAGATCATTATCTTGAAATTTCAAGAATAAATAAAAAGATAAAGGCGTCCGTACTTCTTTGATTCCATCAGATCTTAATAGAAGTAGATAGTGGTATCAGGTCTTTGAAAGAGGCATTTAGGAGTTGTTTGTTTGTTTGTTGTTTAACGCCGCACTCAGCAATATTCCAGGTATATTACGGCGGTCTGTAATTAATCGAGTCTGGACCAGTCAATCCAGTGACTGACATCATGAACATCGATCCACGCAATTGGGAAACGATGACATGCATCAACCAAGTCAGCGAGCCTGTCCACCTGATCCCGTTAGTCGCCTCTTACGACAAGCATGGGTTGCTGAAGACCTATTCTACCCCGGATCTTCACGGCTCTCATTTGGAAGTGATACACATAAGGAAGAGAGTTAAATTCTCTTCCTCAGATAGAGGTAGTAGAAAATTTAATATAAGTTAACTATTCATGTTGAGTCGCGGACTTGCTCAGCCTTAGATAGAAAATATCGGCCTTGTAGACTTATTTTAGCCACTGTCGTGGCGGGAACCCCACAGCGTGCACGTGAGTGAGTGAGTGAGTGAGTGAAGGCACGAAGTGGTGGAACCCACGAGCACGGGTGTAGTACCGACCGACAGACCTAGAGACAAGTGGCTACGCTCAGGCACAGAGTGGATCATAGTTGTCGACATCGTGGTATGTAATTGTGGCCGAAGTGTCTGGTATGCTAACAGCATCACGGGGCGAACTGGAACACCTACAGCAGGAGTGGGTTACCTGTGTGTCATGTGGGATTTGATCGCGATGCACTGCCTGAGTACCCATGTGTGCGAGGCACGTCTTGTATTCCTAGACACGAGTGTATGTGCGGGGGGTAAGGTGTTGGGCAGGCAAAGTGTACCTCGGGAAGGTGTTTAGAGCGCTTTCACGTTTCACGCGAAGAAAAAAAATGATGTTATCATGGAAGAGTTATATTTGAAGAATATATTTTGAGGTATTTTTTTATGACTTGGGTCAGCCTCTACAACCACCCCTTCCCCTACAACCACTCCTACCCCTACAACCACTCCTACCCCTACGGCCACCCCTACCCCTATAACCACTCCTACCCCTACAACCACTCCTACCCCTACAACCAACCCCGTCCCTACAACCACCCCCACCCCTACAACCACCCCTACCCCTACAACCAGCCCCGTCCCTACAACGAACCCCACCCCTACAACCACCCCTACAAACATCCCTACCCCTACAACTACCCCTACAACCATCCCCACCCCTACAACCACCCTTACTCCTCCATCCCCACTCCCACGTGGCTGGTGTACACCCACCACCACCCCCACAGCGACCTTGTGAGGGTGACCCCAAACAAATCCCAGTGCAATTACTTCATTTGGTTTTCTCGTAACTCCCCTCGCAAGATGAGCTGCTTGTGGTGCGATGTCTCTTAGGTTTTCCGTGAATTTGGGAGGTTTTCCAACAAGTTTTAGTGTAATTGTGTAGCTGTGCCAACCATGGGAGGCATGTCGGTGTCTCTGCGAGTGTCGATGGTGGGGGCGAGACTACCGGTGACTAACAGAGGGTGAATGCTGGTTCAAAATAACGGTATATTTCGGGCACAACTGGCGCTATATCCAGACATGGCCATTATTTAACAATGTGTCTCGCGGTGGAGAAAATGTTTTATGTATAACGGTACAGTTACCAGATACATTTATCCACTGAAACAAGAGCATGCGATATCAGAGTTTCTAGTTTTCATGTCAATCAATATCTTTGAGAACAGGAATACATGGTACATGCTTTATGTATGATAGCTTCGAATCCTATGTTCCTACAACTTATTTTACTCAAAGGGTTCATTATTTAGCCACACATGCACACATACC